TAGCAAAAGCCTTTCTTCATTATTGACTTGTGAAAGCTATACCCCACAACCTCCCTATGCATGCTCCTAATTGTTAATTTCTTCCTTCTTGCCTCCCATGGCCTGAAATAAGACACTGGCAAGGAAGACAAAAAAGGATAACATAAGTCCTTTTTAATCCCAACCTCACATGCATTGGTCTATAGAATCACACAGCTAAAAAACAATGTCTACAGCTTATAGTACACAATACAATCTCTGCAATTTACCCCACCAATGTGTATATCTCAAGTCTAACCTGACTTTAGCATATAACAGCCCATACACCAAAGTGATTTGACTTCAGACTACACAAAGTTCAATCATAGTAGAGTGGAGCAGAGTTCATTTATAAGATCTTAGCAGAGCTAGACAGAGCTAAAAGAGTTACGGTATAATTTCAGACAAATGATATGAGAAAATCCATGTTTGGTTTTGCCTGAATCGTCCTTATGATTATCTCCATCATCCACACTAGATCAACGAGATGCTGTGAGGAATCTTAGGGATTGTCTCCCTGAACCAGGAAGAAACAGGGATTTAGTGAAGTCAAGTGATTTGCTCAAGAGACACAGCTGGTTAGTAGCAAAGCCATGCCTAGAACCAGCTCTTCTGCCTTTGCAACTATTTGTTTTATTCTTACAACTTGACATTAATTTCAGACCATAGATGAGATTCAGAAATATATGAGGGGGCAGCTGATAGAGACTGGGAGAACTGTGTGAGGTCCCAAGGTGCCTACTTTGAAGGTGCCATTGTCCTATGTACAATGTTTCTTGTATCTTGTACCTTTTTCTGTAAATGTCTGTATTTTTCATAGTGCATGGCTGGATACTTTCTGGACACATCTCATATATATGTATGCCGGGGGTTCTTCCAGTTCTTAATTTCTGGTTAATTAAGCAACTATGAAAAAAACCTCAGCTTTACTCATGCTTCTGTGTGCTCCCCCATTCCCAAATTTAATAGACGTGGGCAGGAGTTAAGATTTAAGCTTCATCAGTCTTACCTATCACCACATAGCTGTCAACTCATGAAAATGAAAAGTGGAGAGAAAAATACTTTAAGAAATAAATTGGCAAAGAAATAGCTCATCAGCAAGCCTTGTCAGCTCTACCTACGAAATAGATTCCTAATCTCTACACTAGTTCTCTTGTCTTTCCTCTAGATTACTGCCCCCAATCAGGGTTTCCCTGCTGTTACACTCTCCCCGCAGCCCCACTTAATCTCTGAAAAATATGAGATCAGGTCTTTTTGCCCAAAGCTCTCCTCCAAAAGCTTCTCACCACACTTATAATAAAATCCAGCTCCCTACAATGACCCCGAACTCCCCATCACCCCCTATTCATAGCCAGAATGTCCCATGTAATATGGTCATTATCTACCTCCCCAATGTTCTCTCTCTCTCAGAACTCTGAAGGTCACTATGTACTCAACCCCACAGGTCTTTGTTCTAGTCCCCAATTATACCCAGCTCCTTCCCACCCAGGCTGTTTCCTGGACTTGGAGGGCTATGACCCCAGATTTTTCCATGGCTGACTCCTTCATATCAGGAGCAGCCCCCACAACCCAATTTAAAGTAACACTACACACACTCCCCACAAATACCATCCTATCATCCTGTTTTGTTTTCATAAATTTACCTTTGTCTGAAATTATGTTGCTCATTTATTTGTACTGTGTAATAACCTGTAACCCCCAACCCTCCGAATATACACACACTTGCAGGTAAACTCCTTGGGAACGCAGATATTCCTTGCCAAATCCCCAAAGCCTAAAAGGGGATGCTTACTATTTATCAAATGATAGATTCCACCTATGCCAAACTTTCCCAAATCTTGTTTCTACCTTGTATTTCTAGCACTTTTTCACTATCACTTCTCTTTGGTCTATTCCCTTTTTGGAATTTCATTCTGCTTATTGCAACACTGAGGAAAACAGAAAAAGCAGCATCAAAAGGGATTATGGAGTTGGCCTGTCTGTGGCCTAAAAAAAGTATCACATGCCCTATGGATACCCAGCAGTTTCCATAGGATCGGGAAATCTGCACCTTCAACCAACACCCCTAGGTGGTTCTGATACAAGCAGTCTTTGGAAACTTTGTACTCTGGCAAAACAAGGAATAGCAAGGGCCTGAGGGACGGTATTATCAGTAATATGGCTTAACCGATAAAATATTTTTTTATTTCTACCTTGAAACTGATTCTCAAGACAAGTCAAATTTCATTTTAATTTTTGGCAAATACAAGGGGGGACCCCCAAAAAGCCAAAATTTATTTATTAAAAAATTGTGTATTTATTCATACATGTTTAAACTTCAGACACTTTCAAAGTACTCTCCATTTGACGCAATACACCTAGTGAGACTTTTTTTCCACTGCTCAAAACAGTTTTTTGAACTAGTTGATTTTGCTGCCTGTTAGTGATTCTGCTGTCTTTTGTTTCACTACTTCCACATCAGCAAAATGTTTCCCTCTGAGGACTTTTTTCACCTGGGAAAGCAAATAAACAAAAAGTCACTTGGAGCCCTAGCTGGCATAGCTCAGTGGATTGAGCACAGGCTGAGAACCAAAGTATCGCAGGTTTGATTCCCAGCCAGGGCACATGCCTGGGTTGCAGGCCACGGCCCCCAGCAACCACACATTGATGTTTCTCTCTCTTTCTCTCTCTCTTTCTCCCTCCCTTCCCTCTCTAAAAATAAATAAATAAATCTTAAAAAAAAGTCACTTGGGATGAGACTAGGTGAATGGAGGGTGGAGCATTAGGGTCATGCCATTTTTGGTCAAAAACTGAACACTCACCACAGTGTGGGCAAGTGTGTTCAAAAATCACCCATCATGACATGAGCAAAAGTGTTGAAAGAGTCAGCAAAACAACTCACTGAAGCTGAACACAGCCTTTCACAACAATACCAGCTGGTACACTGATACAGATGGGTTCCTAGAACACTCACCTAGTGGGGGATGCCTGTACTATAAGGTGCCCACCTTCCAGAAAATAATTCTGGGCTTTTTGGGGGTCTTCCCTTGCATTATTTAAATTCATTGGTCTTTACAGCTTTTAACTATTTTTAAACTATAATAATAGCTACCTATAGGACAACTACAATGTTCTACATGGTACCCCAGTGTTTTACATATATTACTCCATTTTATAGATGAACTTCAGTTAAATAAGTACAGCCAACTTCAAGAAGTGACAGAATCAGAAATCAAACACATCTGTACAAGTATGTCACTAAAGTCTGTGTTCCATGAAGTCTATACCTCCCAATAATCATATATTAGTAGAAGTAAAACCAATAAATAAAAATCCAGATTTGCATATGAAGAGAGATTTTTCTCTCAAATATTCCTCACTTTAGAAACCAACTGCCTGGGATTTCATTGCATGGCGAACTTTGACAGTACATTCAAATACATTAAAAATGGCATGGCAGTCTCTGAAAATGAATTAATCTTAAAAGTCCTTTTCTAAAACAAATAATCACCCTATCAAAGTCACCAAATATTAAGAACTGATTCACTATTTAAAGATCTAACAGTGGGTCTCAAACTGGGTTGATAATCAAGAATCATTTGGGGAGCAGCTTAAAAATAAAATTTCTAGGCTTCACACTAGTTCTGAATCATAATCTCTGGGGTATGACCCCCCCCCCCAGTCTTTACTTTCATAAAGCTCCCCATGAGCTTCTGATGAGTAACCAGGGTGCAGAACAACTGTTAGCCTCAGAGCCCCAACATTCTACAAGTGAACAAATTGAAGATCTAAAGACATAAAAGTGACACAACAGACTGGAAAATCAATATCCTCCACATTTGGTGCTTTTAATACCAATTCATGCTACTGGTTTTGGTTAAACTGTATGCCCTGCAGATTACTTACCATCCTCGAGCAACTTAGTCCCTCATCTGCAAACTGGGAATAATGGTGTTTATCTCTTAAGAGTTGTTGTGAGGATTAAGGTAATGCACTTAACACAGTGCCTAGCATTATATAGGTTCATTATATAGGTTTCACGGTGTTCATCACATAGGTTACACAGATCCATAAAAAAAAAAAAAGCATGCCATTTTTAACTGAAAAAGATTTACTAATCCACTCCAAACACGAAATGAACAAGAAGCCTATGTTTAACTTTGGAAGCCCAAAGGAACTTGAAATTCCTGATTCTCACAGTCCATTGTTTCTTACAGGATGCCTCAGAATCATCTAGTGAATCAAACTCTGGTGACCAGTAACCTATATTTTTAAAAAGCGTCCTCCCTTCCCCTCCCCCGCCCCGCCGTCAACCTGGTGCTTTTTAGGCAAACCCGGTTTTGATAAACAGTACTGTACAGATTCGGTGACAACAAACGGCCTCCCGAGTCGCAGCAAAAAAATTACTGTGCTCTCTAACCAGAAGAGCAGCGTCAACAGACTCGGGTGCAAACAACAGCTGGGGACAGCTGTGCAGAGTAGTCACTGTGACCACCAGGGAAGGCCTCAACCCTCTCATCTAAGAAACAAAAAATCACAAAAAGTGCTGTTATAATCCCAGTGGCAGACAGTGCTGCGAAGAAGACCATGAGATGCTTAAGTTAACTCAACGGCTACCTTCCCAGGAGTCAGGCCAGAGTAAAGTAACCCTGCCCTGCGGACCGAGCCCGAGCGGCGTCAAAAGGTTAAAGACATCTCGGCCTGTTCTTAGGATGGCCAAAAGCCTCCACCACGCTACCAGCCACCTGCCGGAAGTGCGTCACCCAAGTCTGCAGGGGATGCCGGGAGTTGTAGTTAACTGGCTGTTTTTCTTGCACCCCAGTTCTTTTATTAAATACGCGAACACCTTGGAAGTGCAATGAAGGTCGCTTTATGACCAACAAATCTAATCCTCCCCTTTTTCAGCTGACAGAGGGAACTCTCTCAGCGCTCTTGCGGAATTTCTCACTACAAGTCCCAGCATGCTATGCAAGGCTCTCGGAGCGCCCGGCCACCGTCCTAAGTTCGGGCCGCAGCTTTGGGGCGTCAGGCGTAAGTCAAAGCCCGCCACAGTCCCCAAGTCCGGTACCTGCTCCAGGGTCGTGAGTGCCGGGTGTGGACCGTGCGCGTGCGCGCCCGGAGGGGGCGTGAGGCGGGTGTGCTGGGTTTCTTGGAGCTCGTGGCAGCTGAGGTTAACGGCAGCGGTGTCCCGCGCCCCACTGGTAGTTGCGGGGCCTCGCGTTTCGCCCAGGGCTGCACGGAGCCCTGGCGGCCACGGGGGACCGCAAGGGGCGGAGGAAAGCAGGGGGCCGGCCTCGGCACTCGGAGGAACAGCCGAGCATGCCCCGAGACAACATGGCCTCCCTGATCCAACGGATCGCCCGCCAGGCGTGCCTCACCTTCCGAGGCAGCGGGGGCGGCCGCAGCGCTTCCGAACGCGGCGCGGTGCCCGGCCCCGAGGCGCCGTTGCCGCAGGGCTTCCCGGAGAACCTTAGCAAGCTGAAGAGCCTGCTGACCCAGGTCCGCGCTGAGGACCTAAATATCGCCCCGCGCAAGGCCACGCTGCAGCCTCTGCCGCCCAACCTGCCACCCGTTACCTACATGCACATCTACGAGACGGACGGCTTCAGCCTCGGCGTATTCCTCCTCAAGAGCGGCACGTCCATCCCACTGCACGACCACCCTGGCATGCATGGCATGCTCAAGGTGCTCTACGGCACCCTGCGTATCAGCTGCATGGACAAGTTGGAGGCAGGTGGCGGTCAACGGCAGCGGGCCCCACCACCAGAGCAGCAGTTCGAACCTCCTCTGCAGCCCCGGGAGCGGGACGCCATTCGGCTGGGCGTGCTGCGCTCGCAGGCGGAGTACACCGAGGCCAGCGGCCCCTGCGTCCTTACACCCCACCGGGACAACTTGCACCAGATCGACGCTGTAGACGGGCCCGCTGCCTTCCTGGACATCCTGGCCCCGCCCTACGACCCCGATGACGGCCGAGACTGCCACTATTACCGGGTGCTGGAACCTGTCAGGGCGAAGGAGCCCTCCGGATCGACCTGTGACCTGCCCCGAGAGGTGTGGCTCCTGGAGACCCCGCAGGCTGATGACTTCTGGTGCGAGGGAGAGCCCTATCCAGGTCCCAAGGTCGTCCCTTGATCCTGCAAGCGCCCGGTAGCTCTGGGCCGAAGACGTGCTCTACTCAGATCTGGGCCTGGCTGCCAGCGACCCCACCACAGGGGCTCTCTCCCTACCCCCAGGCTGCCTGGGCATTGTATCTACTGGAGTGGACTATAGTTGCTTCCTCGGGAGTCTTGGGAAGCACGGGCGACTGGACTGCAGCCAGCAGGCACGGTTATGGGGGTGGGGTAGGCGGGAAGGCTAGGTTTTCTGGTTCTGTCATTGCTACCAGGGTTTTTATTTGTTTGAAGGGGGAGATGAGCATGGGACTATCTGAAGTGCTTCCATCCTAAAGCCATAATGAAAATATTCTCTCTGTTCCCCATTCTGTACAAAATACACTGAAAGGTTTTGTCCCCGCCTCTACCTTGGGTAAATAGGGTGTGTTTTTCCTTATGTTCTTATGCCCTTTATTTCGTATTATAGTTTTAACTTATTGACTGTGCATGATCCAATGGGTTTGAGTTGGTTTTAGTTTAAGTCAGATAATTGGTTAAAAACTAGTTTTAAAGAGATGAGGTACTGTCTAAAGTGAGCTGCCTGTCTGAATAATTCGTTGTGAAAATTAAATCATTCTTCCAGAGTTGAGGAATCATCCCCAAAACATGACTATGCGTGTAGAGGACAGGATATTCTTTCTTCCCCTTGCCCAGTAGCTACATCTGGTTTACTCTAGCAGCAACTACTAAGGTATTCACACCTACATATGTTAGGACAAATTGTCACAGTTTATCTTCCTATGAGTCTGCAGCTCTGTGAGTTGAGCAGATTTCTGTTTGCACATTTCACCTTGAATGCAAAAACTATGTTAACCTGAAGTTATTTTTTTTCTTGCATTGGTGTAAGAGGTGATAGGGTAATTCTGTATTTTCTAATCAGAAGATTCAGAGATGCTGAAATCTGCATGCTTCCAAACAACTGAATGTAAAACAGCGCTAGCCAGCAGTTGAATTCCATGTCCCTGTTTACTCCCAGCATTTTCCCGTAAAAATAGAGAAAAATGTTAATGACTGTTTCAAATTTTCTCAGCCCTAATATTCCAGAGGGGTGGTGGTTCTAGCTGTGTTGTTGGTGGCCCTGTTCTCAGAACCGTCTCTCTCAGGCAGGAGAGAGCCATTGCTTGCTTCATCTAGTGTGGTTTTCTATAGGAAAAGACAAGCACTGATGGTCAAGGCTACAGAATTGAGAATTAACTCCACTGCTGGCCATTTTTAGGGTCCAAAACTTCGGGCAAAACACTTCCCACACCCACCTTTTAACAGTTGAGCTATCTGTGTCTGGTTTTATTTTTTGTCATTTTAATAGGGTGAGCAGCTTGGCCCTGTTTACAAACACATTGACACTATTTGCTTCAGGCTGTGGAGCACTATTTCTCTCTTTTTACTATTTACAGGATTCCTGTTCTTTTTTCACAAACTTTTAATTAAAACTAATTAGAAATAAGCCCATTAAAATTTACTCAGCTGTTGTCTAAGCCCTGTTGATGGACTTGCCCATGTGGCAGTCCAGTTCTAATATCTATGATAAGGGGAGATTTACTGTTGGTGGAAGTTGGGACCCTTTAGGAGAAAAAGTATGTGCCTTTGCTTCTTTATGCATACTGGGTTACAGAGGCCCAAAGTGAAGGAATATCTGTTCCCAGTTTTAAAAATAGAATGGAAAAAGGTAAATTTTTGATGAATTTTTTTTTATTTACAAAAAGGATGCTTATTGAAGGTGATGTGCCACTATGTTAAAAAACATGATGGATGTAATGCCAAGAATTTTCTCCAAGGTTACTAACATTTTATGGTAGCTTCACATTGTAGTGTGGTCTAGTATGTCTTGGGGGCAGTTTGAAGTAGTTCTTCATATGTTCAGTTTGAAAAGAAGTTCTACATATGCAAATTATGATTTTTCTTAGAAAAGTGTTCACCAAATTGGTGTTTGTCATAGCACAGTATGAATGTGTTTGGTTATCACTCACATAGCTACCAGTTTTGAATTATATTGTAAAACATAAAGATGATTAATAAGATTGTGGATAGTAATGTGTATGTTATAATACAACCTGGAGTACATTAAACTCACTTACAGAAAATTCTGGCAATGGGCCAGAAATAGAGGAGGAATTTTTTTTTCCCCAAACTTCACTATATAAAGTTTTAAAGTACTCGAGTATAAGCAAACTTAATTTAAAAAAAAAACAACTAAGGTGCTTTTCAAAAGAAAAACAAATTGTTGCAGGCCAAAACAGCAATATAATATCTCTAGTTAAAAAGGAACAGTGAACCTCTTGGTTCACTAATAAATTCTGAATAAATTAATGGGGGACACAAAATGTAACCTGTTACAGTGAGCCACTAAAAAAAAAATTCTTAATACAAAGGCAAATGTGCAAAACTTGCACCTTTCTGCATAAACTGTTAGTCATGACTGTCTTCATGTGCTGCTATTGCATTTCCTTGTATTCCTGCGATATACTGTTTTAATAACAACCAGGAAAAAGTCTTCCCTATAAAGACTAATGAGCACAATGATACTAACCACTTAAACTTTCCTGTTGAATAACATGCAATAACTTCCTCTCATGGGTAAGAAGTTGTCTGTCTAAATACTCCTAAAGCTTTTTAATTTTCTTATATCAATGGCTACTATATCAATGGAGAGTATTGTGTACCTACCTACTACTTTATGAGAAGTGTTTTTTTTTACTAAGCCTGATTTGCATGGATTGAGTTTATTCCGATTGCTGTTTATTAATGAAAATGGTGAGCCTCTTTTTAAAGTAATAAGTGTTTGTCAACAGGAGTGGGTTCTTTGACCTTTTAGCACCAATATCCTTGAACTTCTCCCAAAAGTTTCATCTTTTATTCTTCCTTTTGCATCATCCCTTGGTAGGTGCCTCAGTCTTGGCATCCCAGGAGGACTCTGTCATCACTCATGTATTCCAAATGACTTTGGATTTTGTGCTATGGCTCTACTGCTCAATGAAGAAGCAATACATCTTTAATTCAGGGCTCTGCTCACTGCAGTTCAACTCTAACCTGAGGGCAGTAACACTCTTGTAACTCTCCTGGTCTGAACTCCGGACCACTGATCCCTTCCGAGCGGAGGCATCTACTGTCAATGAAGAAAATTATACGTGAAGTCCCATATAAATACTGAATCTTCATATCCAGGGATGTTTACATTTCTGGATTAAAATCAGTGTACTTATGGAAAATAAAGACATGTTTGAAATTGTTTAGAGGTAAATCTTATTTGACTAATGCAAAATGGAGAAGGAAAGTACTGCTATAGTGACTTTGTTATAATTAACGTTAAAGGTTCATGGTCTATACTGTAAGATTGTGTTGTGCTAGAAAAGGGTGACCTGCAGATTCTAAAGTTTATTTCCTTGAGAGTGAGCTTTGAAACAGTCTGAACATATCTGAAACTATTTAATGTTTAATCCTACTATTTTGCTGAAAATAGAAAATATCTTCATTTAACCTAAGAAAAATAAGCTAGTACAAGAAAAAATACTTTCATCCACACACGAAAGAATCTTTGGACTTAAGTATTTTCTTGTCTTTCTTTTTACAGTAAAATTTGTTTGTTTGGACTGGAGGCATTTTAGGCACTTGGAGTGATGTTGACCATTCTTTCACACAAGCACATTGAACTGGACTATTAAAATATCCCACAGCTGTTTTTAATAAATATATACCAAACAAGGTGCCTTAATTTCATTAGCAGGATACTGACAATAAATAGCCTGTTTATGAATAATTTAAGACCTTATTTAGATTTAATAGATCTATTTTTAATGTGCACTGAACCATCTCAAATGTATTGTAGTCTTTACAGAGTTACTCTCCAGAAGTTTATTTATTTTTTTTTAGATTTTATTTATTTATTTTTAGAGAGGGAAGAGAGAGAGAGAGAGAGAGAAACATCAATGTGCGGTTGCTGGGGGTCATGGCCTGCAACCCAGGCATGTACCCTGACTGGGAATCGAACCTGCGACACTTTGGTTCGCAGCCCACGCTCAATCCACTGAGCTACGCCAGCCAGGGCCAGAAGTTTATTTTTAATAAGAATTCCAAGTAGCAGCAGAAACATCAATAATACAATTACTCAATAAAGCATTGAATATAATAAGGAACAGGCTTGGCTTTATTTCTTGAGTAGAGTGAAAAATGAGACACCTGTGAAAAATACCTAAATGTTTCAAGCCAAAAATAAAATCTGGTTAAAGGTTGTTGAAATTGAGGAGTAAAAGCCACAAGTTTGAAACAATACCTTATGGTATGTTTTACTACTTGATGAGGCCCATGTCAGGGTAAAAGTAATTATGTAACCAATTTGAGTCATAAAATGTACTTAGTCTTTTTCTAGTCTTTTGCTTTGTAAACAGTTGTTTACATTTTGACTGAAGCTGCTCTGAAATTAAATTTGGCAAGAAAATTACAGCTCTTATAAACTATAGGTGTGCTATATTTTAATATAATGAAATTTTGGTAGGAGGGAAGACTTCATTAAAACAATTGTCAAAACGGCATTGTTTTATACATATTAAACAAGATTGGCCAAACAAGGATGATAATATGCTGACAAGCTAGGAAATAGGAATTTAGCAAAATAACACCAGTCACTAGAACAATCTGGCACTGAAGGTTAGAAACTTCCATTTAGTAATTATAGAAAGAGGTATTCTACATCTTTAAATTTGGGCAGAGAAAAAATAAAAGGATTAATCATGTCCACATACTAGATCTCAAATCCTAGTGCTGGTAGGCAAAAAGTAGTTCCCAGGAGTAGCTGTACTGCTGAAATGCAGGCCATGAATTGTCAGCCAGGACACGGGACAGTTCGCGGACAATGGAGCTGAAGAGTGGGCACTCCGGTGTTAACACTTGGGTGATCTGGAGGCAGTGGATGAGGCTACGTCTTTAGGCCCAATTTTAGACAAAGGTGGCTTAATAAAGACAATCATTTGCTTTGTATAATAGACAACTTTTTTTTTGGTGACTTTATATTTTAAAATTACTACAAAAGGCTCACTGTAAAATGAACCCTATAATGTACTTTTGCTAATAACCATTATCCAGTACCATGGAGGACATCTGCCTACTTAATTCAAATTTTCTTTGAGATTTTAAGGAAGGTGTACACCTATGTTATCTAATGAGCTGAGTATTTCGGTAATCTCTAGACCCACCAAACATATGGCAGATTAACGATCCTTCCAAATATAGGAGTACTTGGGGAGAGAAATGAGCCCCGGGTAATTCCTTTGGCAACCCGTTAATGCTGTCACCCATATGTCTGAATGCATTTTTGATCTGAGGAGGTGATAGGTCTTTTCAAAAAGTTTTGTGTGGTCATGAAACTAATCCAAGAACCTGAAAGTCATTTCCAGCTTGACCACACCACCACACTTTCCACAAAGCTACATTTTGTCTTGAGTTCCTGGCCCTGGTCAGGGTTCTGAAAGCAGTTGCAAATGTGTAGTCTCCGAGTGGGCACTTGTTTGTAAGTATTTATTTTCCAGAGCCCACTCAGGCGCAGAGAGAAGCTATAGGCTCTTATGGAGGACGGAACAATGAGTCAAAACAACGCCTCCCCATTTTTACACTAATACATTGGGGAAATCCCCATAACACTAGGGTTTGATTATGAATGGAGATTACTTTGGGGTGAGAGGGCTGCCGTTGAAAGGCTAGTAAAGAAGACTTGGATATCCTAGCTTGGTCAGAGCATTAAAAATCACTGGGTGAACTATTGAATTCCCACCAGAAAATCTTTCAGAAATGATTTCTAGAGCAAAAAAGTATTGTTGAAAAGGATTTATTTACACCATAGTCATAAAGCATCCAGTATCTGAACTTCAGTTAGTGGTTTTATGTTAGACTAAATCAATTATGTTTCCACAACTATTAAGAGCTAATAACCAAACAAGTCAGCTCCAGTAACATTCTTTACATTCTTATCTGCAATTTGACTACAAAGGTAACACTTTTAAGTCACAAAACAGAGCATACAAAAATATACTTTCTAAAAAAAATTCCAAATATTAACAGGCAGATATATACAGCCATACTAAACCCAGGGAGTGACTTTCATTTCCATAGTAAGGCAACCCATTTACATGCAGACCCTGTAACATTGTCTACATCACACAAGGCACCAAGGACACTTCCAACACAATTGCATGCATCCTAGTTTCAGAGAATATATGTACATCCCCTTTTAAATAAGTTAACCTCTGACTCATTTCAAGAGGTTATAAATGCTTTTTTTTTTTCCCAAAGGTTCAGAACTTGGAGAACAGTGCACATCAAAAATACACAAAATCTGAGTGGATATACACTGCAAAAATAGTCTACATTTCTCAACTCAAAAAGGAGCAGATATTGCTATGTCCCTCCTATCACATTGCACTTCTGTTCTCTGAGTTTATAATACATATTGCCTAAAGGGTTGAGAGGACTAGATAAGCTTTGATTCACTGTCCTACGGCCACAGAATGCAGCACAAAGACCATGCTTTACTCACTGTACAGTGTCCCTCAGAAAAGTCCCAAGCCATAAAGTGCACATCAGTTTTGCTTCTTGTCTTTGCTATCCCCACCCGAAGGGATCAGCATCTCCCAACCTGCTGTAGAAAACGTCTCAGGTCAACTCTGACATTCAGAGTCAACAATCTGTAATTGGTCAAAATTAGAAAAGGGGAGCAAAACCTAGTCAAACCACCCTTTAAAGCAAGGTTAGCCCTCAGCCCTCTAGGCCAAGGACCCCCAGCAAACCCCTTCAAGAACCTCCCCATGATTTGGGGGTGATTGATAGTCAACTCACCAAAGAGAGACTAAGGTAGGCTAACGTTTAGGAAGGACCTGCTTCTAAGTGGAAAGGCGGGCAGTGCTGGGCTCCACCAAAGCCCTTTGCCCAATGAAGGAAGGCAAGAGAGGGTGGTAGTGTTTGTTGTGCAGTTCCAGTGGCCCAAGGGCCTAGGGGCCCTCAAGGAGCTGGTGTGTCAGTCTGAGTCTCTCATCTCAAGGTGTCCTGGTCCTAGAGGAGCAAGTGGCCAGGGAGCCTCCAATAGTGCTGCCGTTGCTGCACAGGGGCACTCCAGCCTGCGTGCCCCCCGTGCAGGACGCCGTAGAGGCCGCTGGCACCGATGAGGAGGGGACACTGCTTTTGCGCTCCTTCTGTCTCAGGTGGATCTTGGTGTGGCGCTTCCTCTCATCACTCCTGGCAAACTTGCGGCCGCAGTAGTCACAGGCAAAGGGCTTCTCGCCAGTGTGGGTGCGGATGTGGGTAGTGAGGTGGTCACTGCGGCTGAAGTTGCGCATGCAAATCCGACACTGGAAGGGCTTGTGCCCGGTGTGGATGCGGATGTGCCGCGTCAGCTCGTCCGAACGAGAAAATCGCCGGTCACAGCCTTCTGCTGGGCAGGGGTAGGGCCTCTCATGCACTGGCGTCTTGCTAGGCCTGTTTGGGTACTTGCGAGGCCTCAGAATGGGCCGCAGTGGCAGATGGTGGGGGTTATAGGCAGCGGCAGCGGCTGCTGCTGCTGAGCTGCTGCCAGGCAGCCGGGGTCCCTCGCTGCCTCCACTGGTCCCTGGCCCTGTAGCCCCAGCACTTGGGCCCCCCAAAGTAAAGTTGCGGATGGTAGAGAGTGGAGTAAGTGGAGGCGGGACTCGCAGGGAGTCCAAGGGGCAGGGAAAAGGCTTTCGGTCTGGGCCAGCTGTACCATGTAGGTCTCTCTGGCACTGTGATGGGAAAAATCCAGGATAGTCTGGGATCATGGGGAAGAGACCTGGGTCCGTGGTTGGCTTGGGGGATGGGTAGGAAGGAGGTGGTGGGTAGGCCAAAGAGGAGGAGGTGGAAGTGGTGGGTGCTGACAGGAACGCTGAGGGATCCTGGTAGAGGTCTCCTGCACAGCCAGAATAAGGAGGTGGCGGTGGTGGAGAATAGAGGTGGTCCAGGTCAGGCTGGGTCTGGGACATGGTGCACACACCCAGGTGTCCTGTGGCCAGTGGGTTGGGAGAGGCAGATGTGACGCTAGACGAGGCTGTGGTCGAAGCTGGGGAAGTGACCCCCTGCAGGATGCCTGCACTCACAATATTGATGATACCTTCTGGGTAGCAGCTGGCACCAGCGTACTGGGGGTCAATGGAGAACTTGCCCATGTAAGTGAAGGTCTGGTTTCGGGATGCAGAGACAGGAGCAAAACTGCTGGGATATGGAAGATCCAAGGACCTCTTCTCTCCAGTCATGTCAATGTTGATCATGCCATCTGGGGAAAAGGAAGAATAGAGGTGGAACAATGAGAATGCAGCCACTCCTTCTTACCGCCTCTCACACGGGTCCATTCCCAAGGCCTAGCAACCTAGCACTTTCTCCCCTAGCACAGGTGGGGAAATCGCTGTCCACACGTAGTAAGAAGAGCCTAGCTCGATATCCCACTGTGGTAGCCAGCACAGTCTGGGACTCAAACTACCACCAGGAAAGCAAGATGAGCTACTCCCAATTCCCCACACACAGCCATCTGTGGCTCTAGTCCCCAATAAAAACACCCAATAATAGCAAGAACAATATTAAAAATTCCCCATCTGCTTGGAACTTCTTTCCTTCTCCTTTGCTTAGGGGTCCCACGGGTAGGGTGCCGGGCAGACACCACCCAGGTGACTAATCCCAGCTGGTGCCGCAAAGGTGCCCAGCTCTACAGGGGAGCCCGAGAAGGGGCCCGTGACTTCCCGGCTGCTCCCCATCTCCGGTGCCTTCCCTCCCTCCCTTTCTTGCAGCGCTTCTATTGAAGGCTGCTTTGCTAGAGGGAATTCCGCGCTGCGGTGGAAGGAGTTTATAGGTTTTCTTTCCGTCCCAATCTTGCCCCACAAACGTGCGTTCCCGCCCAGCCCAAGCCCAGTGGGCAGGCTTCGAGAAAGGCTCCGGAGCCGCGGAAGACCACTTTTCTCCCCATCGCCAAGAAAACCAGAGGCACCAGTGCCTCCGCAGGTCTCCCTCCGCAGCCAAGGAGCCGTTTCCCGCCGTGTCCCGCCCTCCTCCTCCGACCCCTCCTCCCCGCCTTGCCAACCCCCTCAACTTCTCAGGCGGAGCGCAGGTGGGAGCTCTCCTTAAGGCTGTATGGATTGCGCGTTCGCAGACTTTCTCCGGGTCTGCTCTGCCTGGAAACAAGCAGCGTACTCTTTCCTTCGGAGCTTCGCCGCCGCTCGGCTCGCTCCTCCAGAGCCCCGAACTTTCTCCTCACTTTGCCCCTACCCCAGGAGAGGGGAGGCCGGAGTGCCGCCGGCCGAAAGCCCTGCAAACGCCTCAAAGTGTGGTTGTGCACCTCTTCTACTCTCACCCCCGAGTGAGCTGGGGGCTGGGCACGCGCGGCGCACGCACGCCGGCTCGCTGGCGACTCGGTACTTCTGTCAGCGCGCCCAGCTCCACCACCCGATTCTTTGATCCCGCGGGGCTTCTCCTGCACGAATTCCAGGCTTCAAAGCCAGTTCGGTCGACATCATCCACCTCGCGCCCCAAACCTTTCCTCTAAGTCCTACACACCCACCGCGCCCCATCTATATACCCTACGAGCTGCGGGAGTCCCGGCCCAAGAAGGGAGCACGCGGCTTACCTCCGGCGACTCCGTTCATCTGGTCAAAGGGGCCTCCCAGTTCGGCATTGGGAAAGATGGTCACCGACGTGGCAGCGAGGTCCTCCACCGGATAGATGTTGTCAGACAGCTGGTGCACAAAACCACTGAGAGTTACTGGGATTTTGTCTACGGCCTTGGCGGTCATCATTTGCTCTTCGCACAACCTGGAGACCCAACTCCCTCGCTACCTGGAGTGTCAGAGAAGCCGTTTTGGAGAGGGGTTGGACTAAGCCTACGTTGGTATCTCCTTTGGCCCTCCACACTTAAAAGCAACCACCAAAAAAAAAAAGAAGAAAAAAAGAAAATCCAACAAATAAAACTAGCAAACAAGTTGCTATATTTTTAAGAAAGAAGAAAAATGGCTATTTGCCACTGACTCTCTCCCGTGCTCCGGCTGGGAAGCCAGGAGTTGGTGGTGTAGTGTTATTATAACAGTCAGTGTGTCCCCTCGCCGAGCTATTAATCAATTGCTGCTCTCCCTGTGAGATGGAAAGTGTTGGTGTGAGTATTTATGGGCAGGTCCTCAATGCCCGTGACGTCGCTGCCCATATATGGACTGAGGAACAGGGCTGGGCCAGGAGGCTTTTGCCGTCACATGGCTAATTTGCATACAGGATCCGCAGCCCGGGCTCCACCGAGCTTGCAACTCCGGGCTCGCAGTCCGCGGATATCCGCAGGGGTCTAGGGCGTGCGACCCGAGCCGCAGGTAGGGTCTAGAACGTGGAGGGGCGGGGGGAACCTCGTGGGGAAGGGGCGCGCCGTGGGTCTGGCGCTAGCTACTAGGAGAGAGCAAGCGGGTCCAAGCTACGGCGCGGCCCCTTGGGGCGGGGAGGAATTCCGGTTCTCCGGGACTTTCCAAAAAAGGCGAAGATCCGGTACCGGCGGCTCCGCCTCCCCAGCCCTTGTTTGGGAGCCATTCCGGAAAATTAAACTTCGGAAAGAAACCGAGCGGAGCCGAGACACTACAGTCAAACCCCTACTCACTTTCTTGGCAGCTGAAAACCGCAAGCAAAGGAGGCAGTGAAGAAAAAAAAAAAAAAAGCTTCATGCATTCACGGAAGCTGACTGCTTTTTTCTGAATTACTTGGTGGAAAGAAGTGGCTGATGATAAGAGTGAATGCGGTATTGCTTTTTTGGAAAGTCTGTTCTATTTATACAGGAGCGAAAACGGAACAGGTTTTGAGTTGTTTGTTTGTTTAAGTATTCTGGGCACCTTGAGGTTGGGGGAGGGGTGGTAAACCCTAGGAGGAGAAGAATAACTGTAGGGAGCTTCGAGAGAAATCCTGCCGGAGACAACCCCCCTTCTCTACCCGCGCTCTTCCCACCCCACTTCAGCTGCTGCGCGAAACGGGCGCCCTGCCCGGCGCGTCTGGGCGGTCGGTTGTGTGGGGGCGTCCAGATGGAGGCTTGGACATTCACTCTGGCCCGCCACACACACACACACACTCTCACACACGCTGCACTTCCGATACAGACACTCCTGCCCCCGCTGCCTTCTTCACACACCCACTTGCACACCTTATGCTACACACCTCTCTGTTGACATAGAGCCGGTGAGCCAGCCTCGCCGACAGGCAGAGCGAGAGCCGGGGCTTGCTGAACACAGTGCTTTTCGAAGACACCCATCCTCACCTTACTGCCTCTACGGACCCACTGCTACGGCAGCCCCCGACCCGACAGAGCCTATACTCCGGAGATGCGCCCTGTCCGCACGCGCCCTACTCCAAGACACACATATTAGAAGGCATAGTCTCCCTTTTCCTTGTCAAGAGTCACCTGGGTGAGCCCAGAGAGGACCTGAAAGCAAACAGCATCGCTAATGCCAGTTTTGAGTCACCATTCACCCCACACGAGTCTCCCTTTGCGAGAAAAGGAAAAAAAAAAAAAAACACCCCACCTGACTCTCATGTAAACCTTTCTGTTTAGTGCCCAAAACAATTTTTTAAAACTTTTCAAGAGGTCCAGGTAACGGCGGGCTTCTGACTCGTTACCCGCGCCGCTCCTATCTACCAGGGCACCCCGGCCGCACCGCGATCGCTCCGGGCGTGGCCCGGGGCCCGTGGAAGACTTATCAGAAGTGGTCAAGCCCGGCGCGCGTTGCCGCCTGCCTGGCCCTTTTCCGCACCAAAGACGCCAAAACCTGGGATGTAGCGCGGACGCAGCCTCCAGGGCCCAGCCCGTCCCTTTTCTGCCCCCGGTTCGGGACCGCACCAGCCTCGCGGGGGCCACGGCGCCACGCCGTGGAGGAAGCTCGGCGCTGCAGGCGGCACTCCCGCGGCTCACCTGCCGCGGCCACAGCGGCAGGGAGCCTGTTCCCGCCCGGCCCCGCGCTCGGAGGTCAGATCTCCAGGACAGCTGGGAGCGGCCTCTGCTCCTCCACCAGGGCACTGCTTCTCCCCTAGTCCGCCTGGAAATCTGTTCGGCGGCCAGCCATATTCCTGAGTTGAAACGCCCAGAAAAATTTTTGGAAAGTTTCTGGCTCGTGCTGTGCGCTTTTCCCATTGGAGACAGAAATAAAAGGAAATCGGAAGGAAATCGTAGCAAGGTTAGCACCCGTGTAGGTACCCCACCCTCGGCAAAAATATGCAAAGTCCCATTTCTTAAAAAGAAAATAAGGAAAGAAAACTGCACTCTTACCACGTGCGCCAGCCCGTTCCGCCTGCGATCTGGCCGGTCCCGCGGCCCCCGCGCTGACCACCTGCAAGACGACGCCTCGGAGGGGAGCCCGACTCGCATCTCCAGCCCCTGAGTCCGAAAAAAGTGGGGGGGGTGGGTAACGGAGTTATGCAAATATGGGTCGTGGCAGCGGGGTTCGGGTTACGGCCCCCCGCCAGCCTCCGAGGTGAGGCATCCACCGGTGGTGAGCGCGGGCGCCGCGACAGCTAGCGCTTCGCTCCTCTTCATGCACGTGGGCGGGCAGGCGGGCGAGTAGCCAGGGCCGCCCCGCGGCGGGCGATGCTGCCAACCCAGCCGGCAGCCACCAAGCGCCGCCCCGAGGGGGAGCTCCTGGACGTCCCGAGTGCCGGGGTGAGCAAGGCGCCTAGGGCAGGATGCAGGCTGGGGGCGGCCCTGGCCAGGGGGAGCTGGGCGGTTTTCGCCTTCTACCCTTCCGGAAAGAGGAGGTTGAGTCGGGGGTCACATGGGGGAGGAACTGCCAGCGAGGAGGGGAAGGCTTGCCTGGTTCGTCTGAAAAGCAAGTTAGAGTAAATGCGAGTGACTGATCCTCTGGAATTATTCGGAGTTTTCCAACAACCGAAACCTCCCTTAAGAGCTTCACCACGTCAAGCCCGCCGCGTGTCAGGAGTGGGTTGGGGGCAGAGCCAACCAAGAGCTGCAGAGAGGCTATGCGGGCTCCCGGGAGGGTGCCTGGGCCCAGTTTTGGGAGGCCTTCCCTGAATCTCCTCTGGAAACGGGTCAGTAGATACTTACTGTTACCTTCCTTCCTTTTTCTTTTTCTTCTCTTTTTTTATGAATGTAATGGAACAAAGTCTAGGTACACTCATGTAAAGCCAGCCACCCTGTGGATAGGTAATAAATTCAGAAAGCTAAAGTGACTTACCTAGAGTCACGCAGCTGGTAAGTGGTGGTATCCAAACTTGCAAACAAGCCTTCTGACTCCAAGTACACTGCTCTGGTCGCTACATCTTCCACTCAGGAAAACCCAGTTCTGGAAGTGCAACAGTTCTTTGAGGATTGGAAGCCTGGCTCAGCCCACTAAGGAAGAAACAGGTTGCCTTCTCCAACTTCATCTCTTGTCTCTGGCATTTCTGAAGAGAGGAAAGCTGAAGTAAGGGCTTTCAAAGGCCAAGGGATAAGAGACTAATATGGACACACACACACACACACACACACACACACACACACACACACACACACACACACACACACACACCAGGAAGGGAGAATTAGAATTTGTGGGCTTTCCAGACCTATGTTATGGATGGAGTGACTGGGTCAGCATAATGCCAGCCTACTATTCAGTCCTATAATAAGAGAAGCCAACCCCACAGCATCCTTCCTAGAGGAAAGAAGTGAGAAAAGAAATAGGTAGAGACAGGAAAATTCCAAAGTTGTTTACAGAGTAAGATACTGTGCTGGGAAGGGGGTTGGGAGAGGAAGGAGGAATGTGGCAGCTGAATAGAGAAATGTAATGTACCATGGTCTCTAGTGGTAGGCCCTTGAACTTACTTTGATCAAAAATGAACAAATAAATGCCATTCTTTAAAAGTGAGCTGTCAAAATGCCCAGGTATATGGGATGCTCCATGGTTTATCAAACTTATTAAAAGAGTGGTAACCTGATGTCACATTCTGATTTGCTAATTCCAGATCCAGAAAATGAAAAAAGAAGGAAGCATAGGAGCCCTTTAGTAGACGTGCCCCTAGGGTAGGGGGATTAGGTAAGGGTGAGGAGCAGGGGAAGTAGCCTGAAGGTCCTGGCTGGCCCTCAGAGTCCCCTTTGTGAGTAGTCTTAACTTCTTATTTTTTTTCCCCACCACAGGGACTGAGAATCACAATGAGTGATGAGATATGTTATAAATAATTTGATAACATTTGCATTTTGATTTATTAAGAAACATTTTGAACATTTTCACCCACTTCCATTCTAATACTGTTACTACTGGAGTGGGAAACAAAGAATTGCCCCTAACTGTGGACACACATACACAGGGTGTGGATATGAACTTGAATGGTGTAGGAGATATACATTTCAGTAAAAATCAGGCTAATTGCCAAATCTGCCATCCAGCCAACTCTTTCTTAAAGGTGCCCCTGTGTTGAGAAAACTGATCAATGGTTTTCTACATTTAGCAACTCCCTATGAATCTGGTAATCCCAGAGGCTATAAACCAAACCCAGATTATGCCTGAGAGAAGCATTGCTTCACATCAGTCAAATGTGAAACTGAAGTCATGTTTTATTGGCACAAATAACCTGGCCAGGAGGAAATAAGACCCTGTGATCTTACTTTGTTGCAGCAGCAACACTAGCAGAGGGTATTCAGGTTCCCTTTAGGGTGAACTATCACTAAATCGACAAATATTTCTTGACACATCTAGTATGTGTCAAGTGCTATGCCAAACCCTGGACATACAATGGTGCCTAAAACCAGGCTCGGTTCCTGCCCCCGTAGAGCTTGTACTCAGTCATATGAATATATAGTTGCAAATAATGGCACCGTATGACCCCAATGAAGGAAGAGGACAAAGGACCCAGCCAAGTCTAGGAAGTAAAGGAAGGCTTCTCTAAGTGGACAGTCATCTGAAGCATGAGCAAGAATTGCGGGAAGGCAGGTGGATAGGGCATTCTGAGGGAGACAGAGTAGGTATGGAAAGACCCTGAGGTGGGAGGAAGCTAAGTGCGTCCATGAAGTAAAGAAAGTGCAGTGTGGGTGCCACCTTCCAAGCCTAGTACACTAGGGCTGAGGGTAGCCAATACAGACAGCCTGCTTGGAAGCACCCATCCCCCAAAATATTTTAACTTCTACAACTCTCTTTTTTTTCCTGCCATTATCTTTTCTGCTAATGACAATTGCATTATAATTTTTACATTTGATATTTATTTTTAGCATTCGGCTTCTTCAAATGAATGAGAACATGTCCATAGGATTTCAGCAAGAAGAGAGAATATATACAGAAATGATTATTGACATCAGCATTGTTTTTCAGTGATAATCTTAATGAAATAATGAAATGTTATTTCATTAAGGAGATGACAATGTAAATTTCATCCCGTTTAAAATGAATAGAGTAAGCCTGGCCAGGCAGCTCAGCTGGCTAGAGCATTGTCTTTATATGCCAATGTTTTAGGTTTGATCCCCGGTTAGGACACATACAAGGATCAACCAATGAATGCATAAATAAGTGGAACAATAAGTCAACATTTCTTTCTCTCTCTGTCAGATCAATAAAAAATGGTTTTTAAAAAATTTAAAAGAATAGAGAAATACAGCTTTCTAATAGAAACGTCAAATCTACAGATCATTTTATCATTGCTGACAAAAAATCAAAGGTAAATCAATGTATTATTTATCACAATTGTTTAAGACAAGGAAAATGTCAACCTGGCATCCATGTTCAAAAGTGATAATGTGTCAGTCTGATCACAAAGGCTTGAAGCAAGATCTCCATCCCAAATCACACATTTTTATGCCTTTACCTTTTAAATCTTTCAACTTATACATTTAATTTATGAAAAATGAAGTTACCTATAAGGAAATTCCTGGATTTTTTTAATGTATATATCACTAGCCTGCTTACAGATTATAGAGAATAATTTTTCCTTTTCTAAATAATGTCAGGTTTCCCATAGAAGCTTTGTTTGTGTCTGTAGAAAAGTGTGGGGAGAGTAAGTGAATCCAATTGTCAAAGTAGCTGTTTTGCAGCATGTAAGCCAAAAAAGAAAACACACACAAACATTTCATATTTTAACTGAATAATCTTGATAAGAATAGTCACCATTTATTGTGTTTAAGATTGTGAGCTCTGGAGGCCCATATGGCCTGGGTTCAAATCCTGACTCAAACTTTACCTGGCTATGTGGTTTTAAACAAGTTATGTAAATTCTCTGTTCCTCAGTTTCCTCATCTGTAGGGTGGACAAAATCATTATACATACCTCGTAGGTGTATTGAGGATTAAATGTGGTGATATATGTGAAACATATCGCACACTGTTTGGTACATGGTAAGTGTTCACTGATTGCTAGCTATTAAATTGTTACTACTATTGAATACCACTTTGAAGACAGACACTGTACTATGTTTTCCTAGGTTTATTGTTTTATTCTTCACAACCACCTTGAAAAGTAAGGCTGTTTATTCTTATTTTACAGATGAGAGAAGTGAGGCTCAGAGAAGAAACAGAGGTTCCCCAGATTTACACCGGAAGTTGCAGGGCCAGAACGTGAACACTAGTCTTTTAGTGTCCAAAGCCCACATTGTTCAAGTACATAGTGTAATGCAGAGCAACCTGTGGCAGATAATAGCAAGAGCAGCTGTATTTCAAATATTGATATACATTCATGATACTTGTTCCTGCATTCTGAGTGTCAGCTTTCAAGAATAACAATGGTAGAATTACTGAGGAGGTTTGAGTTTAGGTTGTAAGGAGAAAAGGCAATCCAGAAAGCAGTGGTTATTTGCATGTAATTTATAACAAGCTATAACCTTGTAAAAAATATTAAAACTTCAAAAGCCATGTTCCACAATAATAATAATCTAATGGACAGAACATCTATTTTTTTCCCAGGGAGATCAACTGCATACCAATAATACTGTTGTTTTCCAAGGAGGTTTGAAATTGTGGAATAGAAATTTAAAATTTAGGAGGAGTGGGTTAGTGAGTGATCTGCAAAATCTGGAGATAGTGCTCCATAAGACACATCCAAAAGAGAGAGAGAGAGAGATTCATAGCCTGAGTGAACCTATTTAGGGGACTTGCTTTAGGCTGTTATCTCACGTAGTCCCTAGTCTATTGCTTTTTCAACTCCATTATAAATTCCTCCAAGGCAGGGACCTCAAAGTATGGTCCCTGTCTGTATTCTAACAAGCAGAGTTCTGGATAAGAACCCAATATATGCCTTCCCAGCAGTGAGAAGGAATGAGGCCTGGCCCCTCTGAGATTTTATATGCTATCTCAGTGATTTTCAACCAGTGTGCCACAGCAGGTGTGCTGCAAGAGTATTTAAAACATGCAATACCTGACTGTTAGTCAGGGACACTGACCTCTTTTCCTTT